CACATGTGTCAAACTCAAGGCCCGGGGGCCAAATGTGGCCCTCGTTGACAGCGTATCTGGCCCCCTAAAATTATATTTTAAATGTAAAATACTTTTATCATTTTATTTTTTTCAGTAATCTTTGATTATGATGTCAAAAGTGCAACACAGAACGTCAAATGAGACCAATCAAACTCTTGTTGAGGAACCTGCAACCAAGAAAAGATGTTGGGTATCTGACTTGAGTTAATGCAGATTCTGAAACCGGCCCTTAGTTTGAGAAAGATTTTAATTTTGGCCCCCTTTTGTAAGTGGGGTTGACACCCCTGCATTAAAAGATACAAAGACAACATGTTCAACCTGAATAATGATTTTCATTTTGAATTTGGACACCAGCAACACGAGTTACATCATCTCTTCTCGTCACAACCCTTTATTTAGAGACAGGGAGCTTGGTGCTGTCGTTTTAGAAGTTTGCTTAGCGGGCTTGTCGGATCCTTCCTTTTTTGTCCCTTCACGGTGTGATACTTGTTCTCAACAGACGGCTACAGATGGTTATGTACTTTACAGTATTTTCACTCTGCAGTACTAATTGCAGAACTGGGATCACTCCTTATTTTGGTGAATAAGAGCACCCTCTGATTGTTGAGATGTTGCTCCAGGAGCCTCATGGAACACTCAGTGTGAAAGGTTACTGATGCTGATCCACCTTTCTTCAGTGAGGTTGAACTCAGTGAATGTGGTCCTGTCTTGTGAATTTATTCTTAAACCGTTTGGATACTAAGATTTACTATTACTAAGAAGTAAAGATTTCCACAACAGAATTATCTTGATGCTATTCTGAAGATTTCAGCCTTTTAATGTAGTTCTGCAGCCTTGTCCTCTTGTGTTTAGAGGCGGGGCTTCTTGGATTGTTTTGAAGACGTGATGGATTATAAAAGTGCACTTGTCTAAAAGTCACTCTTATTTTGTTCAAATATTTCCTCACATTCTCTCATACGGAGTAGAAAATCCATCATAGTTAAAATGTTGTAGCTGCTTTTAAACCTCATTATTTGTGCAATCAAGGCACACTTTTTAAGAGTTTTGCTGCACAGGTCAAAAACTGAAACCAGTTCTATGAATGCATGAATTAAAAAAAATCAGTTTCAACATTTGATAGCTCATCTTCATACTATATTTAGAGGTTGAAACCTGTTGCAATAGTTGATGGAAGCTTCGTAGCTGTGTAAGAGTTCAAACATTTGTCAAATAAGCAGTAGGTTTGCTAAATAATCACAATCACAACATTGAAACTATGTTTTTAACAACACAAAATAAAATATTTGAACTAAAAGCTGCTGTTAAAATGCCAACATCTGGCACTGAAAATGTGCTAATCTGCCAACAAAACAGCTGCATTTATATCATATAGTTGAAAAAAAACAAAAAAGTCATAATTTCCATACCAAATTTAAAAAAATTGTTGACCGGAAAAGGAAGAAGCAGGTAAAAATCATGGATGGATGGATTTCTCAAAATACATATTATTTAAAATTACTGCATCACATTTAAATACAATGCATACAATTAAAAACTAAAATCATCAGTTGTAAAGAAAAGTGCTGGCTCAGGAGCACAGACTCCTTGTTTATTTGATTTGATGTCTAAAAATGAAAGGCTTTTGATTCCTTCACATGATGTTTATCATCCGTTGACTTTCCTTCCTGAGTTTTAGTCGACGATCAACCGTGTTGAGAAATGACAGAAAAAGCCAGTTTGCTCAAAGCTCAACAGTAATGTGTGTAATCTCCTGCAATATGTGTGTTAGCAGAAGACTGAAACGAAACCTCGAATCATTTACTCACTCAGAACAATGTTCTCTATCGTAGGCATGGTTTGGTGTTTACAGCCTCAGCAACGTTAATGTAAAATAAAGCTGAACTTTGGAGTTTATGAAAGATGAATATTTTTATTCTCATGCTGCTGATTATTGCTGGTGCAAACCAAACAGGCCTTGGTGCTTGAAAGTCTGGGAACTCTTTATAATTTTCTATATTTCTGCATAAATTAACTAGTTACCTAGGACTTCTGTGAAAATCGGATGTTTTGGCTCATATTTATGCAGAAATATAGAAAATTCAAAAGGGTTCACAAACTTTGAAGCACCACTAAACACACCTTATTTATAGGTACGATAAGGGACTGGAGGGTCTTGTGTAGTCGTACGCATCCAGGACACAAGAGCAGTGGGCCATCTGGAAACTTCAGGTTGACAATCAAAACCAATCATCACGAGCACAATGGGCGACTGTGTGAAGTAAAGGATCTTCATTTGTCTGACGTTTGACAGAGAATGAAGGCTTTTCTATTTAAAACATGTGAAAACTTTTTTTTTCCCATATAGTCTGGTTCTGTGTGTGTGTTAAGACCACAAGTGTCTTTGACAGTTGTGCCTGTGGGGTCAAAGGTCAGGCAGAGGCCTCTGCTTGAGGAGATTAAAGTGATTTATTAAAAAAAGTATCATGGTGTTTTTCCAGTGTTGTCCATTTTCTTTTTTCTCTTCAGTCTTCTCAGCTTTTGCATGAAGTGTTTTAAAACTAATTAAAACAATAGCAAGCTTATCAGAGTGTTAATTCATTCACTTTCTGAGGTTTACAGCTCGAAGGTGACAAAGTAGTCCGTGTATAGATGTGTGACTGTCAGCTCAGGTGTCTTCATCGTGCAATTAAACCAAACAGATCTTTACACCAAATAACAGTTTTCAAAGCAGAACAGCTGAACTTTGTGCTAATTAAAATCATTTTGTAATAAATTTGTGAACATGATTCATTCAACCTTTATTTATACAAGTTAATCCCACTGAACCTGGGGACTCATTTAGAAGAGACCTGATTTTTATCAAAGCATGATGACAACAACGACAACAATAGACGACCATAAAGGATGCGTACAAATTTAAAAAATAATGCATTTAAAATGATACAATTAAGTAGAAACTAAAATGATTAAATTGACTATTTTTTTTCTTACTGTATAAATTTTTGATTGCAGCCCCACTTTTTTCTGATTTCAAACATTGTTTTATTATCCAACAAAGACACAGTAATACCCCCAAATGTTGCTTAATTGTCCTGAATTAATGCATTCCAGTATAAATATGAAATGCAAACATTTGTGTTGAATGATAAAAAATAGAGATGCACGATATTGGATTTTTGGCAGATACCAATACCGATATTTTTCCCCTAGACCTACTTACAGAGACTACATCGCTTTCTCTGCTGTGGAATTAAAATACATTATTCTGCATGGTCTTTGTCAGTTTGACCTGCTACCAAATGCAGATGTCAAAAAGTGGACTGAAAATGATGAAACACTTCAACTTGGATTATGTTTAATGTCAAATTTATTCATGCAATTTACTCTAACACAATGACAACACTCGAACAGTGCAAATTTGTAAATGTTCACGAATCTAAACTCAACCTGTTCACAAGCAACAAGTGAAAAGCGCACAAGTAGTGCATTAATAGATGTACTGGACAGTTTCTTATTAAAAATTAACTTAAAACAGAAGCCCAATACGTGGTTGTACAATCTTGATCAACTAAAATCTCTATGAATTCTGCTGTGTGCAAATAAAATCAAAAGTGCAAGAAACATTGTCAGCTTCTGTCCTTTGTCAGAACATAACCCTCTTCTTTGCTACAAAAATTGTGTAACAGAGCATGGGAAGTTCAAACAGGCAAAAAATGCCAAATAGCATGCACTACATTATAGCATTTATTTATTTATATATATATATATATATATATATATATATATATATATATAT